ATATCTATTCGGTGACTGCAGTAGGATATGTAGCCCCAGCTAGGTGCTACTTTATAGGATGTGTAAAGTTAGACTTGTGTTCAAGGAAATGTGTGTGTCACCTGTGTTTGCTATGAGGGTATTTGGATTGATTAGGGGCTTTGGTGATTCAATAAAATGTGGGGGGGAAAACAGTATAGAAAGCAAACATAGATACCAGAGGCAGTGTGGGAGGAGAGTGGGAGATGGCAGAGGGTAAGAGATAGGGAATCAAGGATGGGGGGAATAAAAGCAAAACTTACAGAAAACAGGAAATGGAAGATCATTTGCTGACAATAACATGTTTGTTGATGTGCTTGATTGAGACAATATACAGTGTACTCTTGATGGAAAATCTCATTTTGTATGCTGTAATGATGTACAGTGAATGAATGTAAATAAATAAGTTGAAATAAAAAATAAATTAAATAAATTAAAAAAAAAAAAGAAAGAAAATCACACTGGAAGGCCAGCAGGGGCATGGTGGTTAAGGAAATTAGAATAAGTGAAGGAATAAATAAAATCAAAATAAATTATTCTTAAAAAAAAAAAAAAGACAGGGCCTTGCTATGTTATCAGCTACTGCCTAGCTAGCTACCCACGTACTTGGGACTTCAGGCATGTGTCACTGCACCCAAGTTTTTAGGGTCATGTGGCTTCAGTCTGTCAAGCAGTAACATCAGCCAGCTTGCACAACTATGGCTGAGTCAGATAAGGGAATTTGTATCCTCTTTTGGAGTGAGGATTAGGGTGATTCCAGTTGTATGAGGGATAGCAGAACATCATCTTAGGTGAAAGCCTGATTTTTCTATTGTCTTTTATTTCTTTTGTAGTTAAATATAGTTACAAGGGGTGTATACAGGTCAAGGTGATGAACATGGAGTCTGGCTTTGTACCATGTCAGCTAACCTAAGATGGAACTAAATTTCTCAGAATCCTCTTCCCTGTGTGCTTCTGGGTTGTTGTTGCTACAAGAGATACTCTGTGTGAAATGGGAAGCCTGCAGCGAGGCAGAAACTGTGCTTTTCACTCTCTGAGGGCTGGCACAGGGTGTTAGGCAAGTGGAAACACTTGCCCACGTGGCTACTGATGTGCTCACTCACCCTGTGGTCATGGAGCAGCAGTCAGGCCCGCAGCTCCTCCAGTTGTCACAGGAACTCCTCCTCTCTGAATTCTTGGCCAAGTGCACATGCAGCTCTGGTCGAGGATTCCAGCCTCTCTTGCCTTCTCCTTCCCTCTTTGATTTCCCACTTTTTCCATCTGTACTTTTCCTGTTACCTATAACATTAAAGTTGGAGGTAGTGAGAGACACATAGGTTCCAGTTTTCCTTCCATTTTCCCTTGTTCTCATCATCTAAATTTAATTTTTCTCCCTTGGCTAAGGTATAGTGACTTTGGGTTTGACACTGGCTGCAGAGGCAACACCCTGCATGGACTTCTCCAACAGTTCACATGATTACTTAGGCCTTGTCTAACTCCTAATGGTTCTGCTTTTCTTATTGAACCACACCATAAAGATAGCCTGGGAACTGTGTGGGTTTTCAATCCTAAATATGTGGTTTTCTGTTTTTAAAATTTATTTTTCTTGAGGCCAGCAGTTGGCATAGTGGTTGAGGTGTTGGACTCCCACAGGGCCAACCAAGGTTCAAGTCCTGGACCTGGTGGCTTGCTTTCTTACTTTCTCTCTCTCTCTGGTGAATGCAAATTTAAAAATAATAAATAAAATTAAATAGACAATAAATAATTAAAAATTATTTTTCTTTCCTGAGGGTATGAGAGGAGAGAGAGAGAAAAAGGGAAAGAAAGAGAAAGAGAACCCCTCAGTAGGGCAGCATGGTCACACTGTACTCCCCTTTCCTCTCTCCATCGTGTCAGGAGTTTGGGCACACACAAACATACACACACACACACACACACACACACACACACACACATGTCACAGGGCCAACCAAGGTTCAAGTCCTGGACCTGGTGGCTTGCTTTCTTACTTTCTCTCTCTCTCTGGTGAATGCAAATTTAAAAATAATAAATAAAATTAAATAGACAATAAATAATTAAAAATTATTTTTCTTTAATTTCCTGAGGGTATGAGAGAGAGAGAAAAAGGGAAAGAAAGAGAAAGAGAACCCCTCAGTAGGGCAGCATGGTCACACTGTACTCCCCTTTCCTCTCTCCATCGTGTCAGGAGTTTGGGCACACACAAACATACACACACACACACACACACACACACACACACACATGTGCCCCTACCAGACATACTTTTCAAGCCACCAGCATTGAGATTTGAACTGCAGTCAGCCTGCTATGTGGGATCTGTCTCCAGATGCATAGCCCTTAACTGCTGTGCCACAAGGTCAACCCCCACTCAGCTTTTATGGGAGGAACATATATAATATTTTTCAACAATATTTAAAATTCAGGAATTTTATTCAAAAGAATTTTTGTGATATCTCTTTAAAGACTATTTACTAAGACAATATAATTTTTATTTATTTCTTCTTTTTAAAAATTGCCATAGGGTGCATTTGCTCACCAGAGAAAGAGGGAGGGAGGGAGAGAGATACACCACTCCCCAGTGGGACATGGCCATACCGCAATCTCCCTTCTGTTTTTCTCCTTCCCATTGGGATTTCGGGCACTGCAAGTACATTCACCTAGCATCTTTTTTTTAGTGACCAGGGCCGGGATTTGAACACCGGATGCCATGTGAGATCTGACTCTCAATGCATAGTGCCAACTACTGTGCTATGGGCTAGCCCAATTGTTTCTTCATAAAGGACAAATAATATATATCATTATATGAAACTTGGTAGATACAAGTAACCACCTAGATATTAACATTTGGTGAGTACTCTTGAAATATTTATTCAATTTATGTATGTATGATGTATATATACAGAAAACCATATTTTATTTTTGTAAAGCAAAATCACATGAAAGTTTTGTTTCATAAAAGAGACTTCTTTCTCCCTGACCATGTATCAGGAAAATTTGTCTCTAGCTGATTAAATAGTCTCTAATTCAACAACATAATTTTTAATTACTTTATAGTAGTTTGTTGCACGGCTATACTAGGATTTATTTAACCCAATCTTTTGATGTTAGTTGTTCACACTGTTTTGTTTTCAGTTTCTCTAAATTAAAAAAAAAATTCTGAGAACACTTTTCATTAATCATCTTAATACATTTTTATTGAGTAGCTACTCTGTACCACACATGTCATAGTCTTATTTCCATGCAAACCCATGTGTGTGAATTTCTCTATGGGTAAGTTTTTCAACACATATGTATTGTGGGAAGGAATGTATAAACAGGGAGGTTGCATCAGTTTAAAATCTGTACAGATTTAGTTTTATAAAATGACTAGGTAGTTCTAAACCTTTCTGTAAGTCTCGGAATGCAACTGGAGTCCCTCTTGTTTTTACCTGTCTGTAGAATGAACCTAGATTCATTGATCTACTTTTATGAAGTGAAAGCTTAAGATGAGTTTTCTTTGTGTTTCCAACTACTTTTGCTCATCAAAGCGACTCCTGCCACTGGGCAACTGCCCCTACCTGCAGGCTCTATGGCTCACTGACTGCTGAAGAAAAGCAGAATTGCAGTCCCTGCTTCAGACCTGCCAAATCAGTGTTTGCATTTTATTGCGATTCTCATGCACATTTCAGGGAGTGAAGCACCAATTTAGATTTTGGCTCTTAGCCCACATTTGACCCTGGTCCTTCTGTCTGAACGACATAGATGAGTCTAGACCTCTGTAACAGCTGTAACGGTCTGTGAGGAACAGGTCTGCATCCAGGGATCCACTCAGACACTTTCCATCATGCCCTAGACCTGCCTGCACAGGAAGTCAGCCACTAAAGATAGGCTGCCCTTAGGAGAGGACTTCAAGGACTTCTGCAAACCGTTGAGCAGCGTGGAAAAGGGTGGAACAGGAAAGGGAGGAAAGCAAGTTCCTGGACTCCAAAAACCACAGTTTGTCTAGGTGCTACTTTCTCCTTTATTTAGCATGCAGCTTTGTCAAGACATTCCTTTACCGACCTCTTTTCCGTTTGCATTTTGTCCTATATTAAGATGTCACCATCAGATACTTCTCCATGAATTATGAAGTTTAAGTTGTCAGGGACCAAATGTGCCTGTTTTCCAGCAGTTTTTTTGGCAGTGCCCTGCTTTTATGGTGTAGTCATGGTGAAACCTGAGTCATCTGAAGATCCTAGCCGTGCCAAAGAGCAGGAGAAAGAAGCAGCAAACAAGCCAGGACCAGCGAGAGCCGCTGATCATTGCCTGCTGGGCATTCGGGTGGTCCTGTTAACAGGAGAGCTAGCCCAGCCTGATGTTCCGGCTATCGCTTCAAGCTTTACAGTTCTAATGAGTACTCTGTAGCCAATGTGTTTAGTGACAGCCCAAACTATAAGGTCTTCTCCCAGCTAATTTTTTCTCAGTTCCAAGTAGCAACACTTAACTTTTGCTTGTGCCAGAATTCTTTTCATTTCTTTACTCTTATCTTCCTTTGAAATTGCGAAACCAAACATCTTCCTGGAGAGGAAAGCACTGTCCCTCACTTCTTTGTTTAGGAATAGAAGTTCTTCTGTACCCTCATTCATATACATTGCACAACTACCCAGAAAATATAAGCCCTTCTGGCTTGTGTGTTTGCGTGCCTTTGCCATTTCTCTAAATTTCTGACTCACAGTCAGGAGGACAATGATTGATTTTTTTCCACTTCACATAGCTGCTATGAATTTCTCCTCACAAGGATGGGCCTGTTTATTCACTCTGGGCATAGTTCGGTAGAGCGCTAGTGTAAACAGCCAGAGGAACCTGGTGGGCAGGGGAAGTGGGCGCCCTCTGTTCTCCGCGGGGAGCAGGGATGCTGGAGCCAGGTTGGGCTGACCGCGTTGAGAGACCGCTTTCTAACCCCGGTGGATTTGCCATATTTGCCGGAGCAGCTAGAAGCGCCATTGTAATAAGGGTGGGAGGGGTGGAGCCTCCAAGTCCTGTCTCTATTTAGATCTCTCACTCCGCTCTTAGGCGCGCCCATTTCAGATTACTAAACTCCCGAGTCAGGGGAAAAAAATCAGGGAGGAGGTGGAAGACCACACCCCGCGGAGCCCGAGAATTCCCCGGCAGCAGACGGTCGCCCAGGCAGACGCAGCCGAGATGCGGGGTCCACGGGCCCTGACCACCGCCCACCTTCTCTGCGTTTGTACAGCCGCGCTGGCCGCGGTCCCCGGGTAGGAGCGAGGACGCGTGTGGCGCGCGCGCGGCGGGCCGGCCGGGGCCTCTCTGCAGCCTGGGCTGGGGCTTGGGGAGGTGGCGGCGGGTGGGAAACGGCCCAGGGACGTCAGTCCCCAGCCTCTCACTGGCCTGCCGGCTTAACCATATGTTGCTTCAGTGCAGTCCTCCACGGGACAGTTAACATTCTCCACCCATGAGGTTGTTTGAGTGTCTTTGGCCATGGTCACTTTCTTAAGAGAGTAACTTTATTTTTAGCCTAGGTTGTCTCTGCCTTTCACGTCGCATGTTTTGCTCCCAAATAACGTGCTTTTTTGTCTCAAAGACATGATTCTAAACAGGATGTCTTAACTTGGGCCTTGCAGAAGTGGGACTGTAGTGTACGTTCAGAGATAGGCAGTGTGGGCTGATAACTAGAACTCCCTGATAATGGAAAACGCTCATTCCTAAAGATTTTTGCAGTTGAGCCATAAACCCCTCGTTTCCACAAAGAAAATGCTGCTTTAGTGACTTCTTTTATGAGGGTTCTGCTACCCTGGACATTTAGTAGTTTATTTTGAGGTGGCATATTTCAACCAGTGATATTGATTGGATGATTTTTCTCTTGGGCAGGTAGGTGCCCAAGCACAAAAGTTTGAATAAGAAATAGGTAAAATACTAGTGTGTATGTGTTTTTTTTTTTCCTCTTCTTAGCAAGAAATTACTCACTCCGGGATGAGGTCGTCTGTAAAGGAGAAGCTTCAGAGACTTGTACTTTTGCCAGTAACTTCTGCATGTCCCAGTGTAAGCCCTGTGACTCTTTCAGTGCTGTTCGTGGTTTATAACTTGAAATAATAACGCAGGCCTTCCTGCAGTAGCAATGCATTAAAATTGGTTTATGGGAATGAAGTCGTTTCAGCATTTCAGTGCAGTTGTCAAGTATAGCAGCCAGGCCGTATTGCAGTATTGTTGGAACAACTGCAGTTCGCATGTGTGGAGAGTCTGTCTCACTACCTGCGAAACTGGAGGGTCACAGAAGAAAGGAGGTGCGAGGATAAGAAACTTTGTTTTTCCCTTGTTGGGCTTTCTTTAGGCCCAGGTTTCTGGTGACAGCCCCTGGGATTATCAGGCCCGGAGGAAATGTGACCATTGGGGTAGAGCTTCTGGAACATGGCCCCTCCCAGATCACTGTGAAGGCAGAGGTGTTGAAGATGGCATCAAACCTTACTGTTTCTGTCCTAGCAGCAGAAGGAGTCTTTGAAAAAGGTAAGAAAACCAGTGCAAAGTCCTACTTTCCACAGTAGTAATTGGAATATGTTAATAAACCACATGTCAAGTAGCAAAACCCCAGATTTGCAGTGATTTACATGATATGCTTTTTATTTTCACTCATGTAATGTCCAAAATGGTGTTTCTGGGTGTTCCTCCAAGTAGACATTCAGAGACCCAGGTTCCTTCTCTTTCTGTGGCTCCTGAGACTGCAAGGGAAGAGCATGGAGTTTCTGACTTGGGAGGCTGTCAATGGCTCCACCCAGAAATGGTTCCCTTCACTGCTGTTCATGTTCAGATGGCAAAGGAGGCTGGGAAATGCAGGCCAGTGTGTGCCCCAGGAGATGACATGGCCATATTTAAAAGCCTGTCTGTGGGGGTCAGCAGGTGGTGAGGTGGCCACATGGTCAACTCTGGGTTCGAATCCCAGACACAGCAGTGGCCTGAAAAACACACTGGGCACATCTGTGTGCCCAAAATTCCAACAGGAAAATGGAGGAGAAGGGATTGCATATGGCCACCCCCCTGGGGAATGATTTCTCATTTACCCTTTCTCTGTCTCTGTCTCTGTCTTTCTCTCCCAGTGAGCACACATACCCTATGGCAAAAAATCTGAAAAATAAAACAAAACAAAAAAGAAAAAAAAACTTAAAAAAGAGACCATGTGGGAACCAGCAGTTAGCTTAATGGCTATGTCGCTGGACTCCCATGTAGTCAACTGTGGTTCACGTCCCAGACCCGGTGGCTTACAACTCACGCCGGGCGCGTGTGCATGCGTGCCCAAGATCCCGAGAGGAGAATGGAGAAGGGACTGCGGCGTGACCATCCCCCTGGGGGGTGATTTCTTGCTTTCTGTCTCTCTGTCTCTCTCTGTCTGTCTGGTGAGCATACGCGCCCTATAGAAAAAAACCTCTCCAAAAATAAAAAATAAAAATAAAAAAGAGACCACGTGTGACACAAAATTATATTTTCTGGGTGCAAAGGATTTCACTAAATAGGCCTGTGGGAAGGAAGGAAAAAGCTACACTGTAGTTAAAACCCAGTTTAAGCACTATTTCTTAATTATTAATGAATAGGGGAAAAAAGAAAGTAAAGTAGCATGAAGTGGGAGCCATCTGTAAGACAGCCAGCATCTCTTGTCTCAAGTTTGTATTCAAATCTGGCTCAGGATTAAATTGGTCTAATGAATGACTTCGTTTTCATTATTTTTTCAGTATTTGTTTTTCAGTTTTTTTGGGGGGGTAAATGCATAAATACAATTTTTTCATTGAAATAAACATTTATTGTATACTTTTTTCTAATTGCAAGAGTAATACATACTCAGTAGGTACAACTTGATAAACACTGGCAGAAATGAAAAAAATAAAATCACCCGTAATTCTATCATGCACATATAAACACAGTTAACTAGAAATATGTGTGGTCAGAAGCTAGAAATCAAGGCATAAATTCCTAGAATGCTGAGATATCTTTTTAAAAAAAATAATTTAAGGGCACATAAATAAGGGTAGATGGGATTCCTGGGTGGATGGGCTTCCATAATAGCTCATTTGATAAATGTTTGTCCTTCACTAGCATAGAGAAATGAACACTATCTGGGAACCAGCAGTTAGCGTAATGGCTATGTTGCTGGATTCCCACGTAGTCGACCGCGGTTTGCATCCCGGACCCGGTGGCTTAAAACTCACGCCGGGCACGTGTGCGTGCGCGCCCAAGATCCCGAGAGGAGAATGGAGGAGAAGGGATTGCAGCGTTACCATCCCCCCTGGGGGGTGATTTCTCGCTTTCTGTCTCTATGTCTCTCTCTGTCTGTCTGGCGAGCGCACGCGCCCTATAGAGAAAATCTCTAAAAAAAAAATAGAAAAGAAATGAACACTGTCATGAAATAAAATTTACCTACGTCTGTGGTTCTTTCTCCACTGGAAGTTGACTGACTGGGTGGGTAAATTTGGGACAGGAGTCAGGAAGATGTGGTGTGTACAGGGACCAGCCCACTTGTTTCTCACAGGAGTAATGCCAGGGCAGTAGGAGGCCTTCTTTTCCTGGAGAAGAAGTGTAGGATAGCTCTTGACAGCCGAGTTTGATTCTTAGTACTACTCTGCTAGTGGTTGGGTGATCTTAGACAGGTTGCTTAACTGCTCTGAGCCTCAGTCTCCTCACCTGCAAAATGGAGTTAAAAAATTGACTTCCGGGACCAGCAGTTAGTGTAATGGCTATGTTGCTGGACTCCCATGTAGTCGACCGTGGTTTGAGTCCCGGACCCGGTGGCTTAAACTCACGCCGGGCGCAGGTGCGTGTGTGCCCAAGATCCCGAGAGGAGAATGGAGGAGAAGGGATTGCGGCGTGGCCATCCCCCTGGGGGAGTGAGTTCTTGCTTTCTGTCTCTGTCTCTCTCTGTCTTTCTGGTGAGCGCACAAGCCTTATAGCAAAAACCTCTCAAAAAAAAACCCTGACTTCCCAGGGCAATTATAAAGTTAAAATCTGTAGTACCTATTAAGCACCGAATGCACACCAACTACCAATACTATTAGTAAAAATAAAGCTGAAAAAGAAGATGAAGAAAGCATCATTTCCTGTTTACGTGAAGGCACACCTCAACTTTCATGATTGAACTCTTATTTCTGGAAATGAATGAGTTCTGGCTATGTTGCTGGACTCCCATGTAGTCGACCGTGGTTTGAGTCCCGGACCCGGTGGCTTAAACTCACGCCGGGCGCAGGTGCGTGTGTGCCCAAGATCCCGAGAGGAGAATGGAGGAGAAGGGATTGCGGCGTGGCCATCCCCCTGGGGGAGTGAGTTCTTGCTTTCTGTCTCTGTCTCTCTCTGTCTTTCTGGTGAGCGCACAAGCCTTATAGCAAAAACCTCTCAAAAAAAAACCCTGACTTCCCAGGGCAATTATAAAGTTAAAATCTGTAGTACCTATTAAGCACCGAATGCACACCAACTACCAATACTATTAGTAAAAATAAAGCTGAAAAAGAAGATGAAGAAAGCATCATTTCCTGTTTACGTGAAGGCACACCTCAACTTTCATGATTGAACTCTTATTTCTGGAAATGAATGAGTTCTGGCTTTCTGATAGTAACTAAAGAAAATACTGAAGCACAGGAGATAATACCAAAAGAAGTTCCACATTCCCTCTTTATTCTTTAAGAACTTGTAGTTTTGGCTCTACCAGTGTGGCGATTTTATAGCAGTGCAGAGGTGTAGCATAGCATGGAAGATTTTGATCAACGCTTGGATTTTGGACATGTACATGCTCATTCTAGAGTTTCTCCTTTTATTGTCTTTTCTGCAGTCTCCTTTGTCTCTTCTTTCTCTTTTCTGTAACAAATAGTACTTGAACTGGGGCTACATGTTGTTGTGGCTTGACTTTTGACTTTATTTAAAAATTGTTTTTTGAGAGGAGAGTGCCTCATATGGTTCTAGGAAGCCTTCAGTTCTCAAGACCAGGTCAGAAAACACCATTCTGGGAGCAGAATGAATCTTTGAAAAAAAGAAAAGAAGGAGCGGCCAGCCCTTATAACCTGGTGGTTAAAGGAGTTGGATTCCTCATAGCTGACCTGCAGTGGGAGCACATGGGCTGTTTGGTAATAATAATAATAAAAAAATTAAAAACTGAAAGAAAGAAAGAGAAGGAAAAGGAAACAGAGAATGCTACTTCTTTCATGGGTTGTTTTTGACTCTTGTCAACCTAAATGCCATTGCTGGGAGTACGCTCCCTCTGTCAAAGGAGAATGTTATTCTACTTATTGGGGGCAGTGAGTTATTGTTCTCAGAGCAGATGCTTCCTGAAATGTTAGGGCTTCAGATCAAGACATTTCTCCCTCCTTGTCCTCACATCCTTTACTTTATCTGACTTCTCCAGTTGTAACAATATATAGATAAATGAAGGCTTCTAAATCAGTGAAATCTGGATCTTTGTAGAATTCGTATTTTGTTTTGTTTCTTTCTCCATCACATAAACACACACACACAAAACCCCCATTTCCTTTATTTTATAAAATAAATGCATTTTAGATGCTCATTTCATCATTTCTTATGAGGGCCTCCAAGAAAAGGTTTTTTTTTGTTTTGAGAGATTTTTATGGCTATAGGTTGTGTGCATTTGCCAGAGAGACAGAGAGATAGAAAGCCAGAAATCACCCCCCAGGGGGGATGGTCATGCCGCAATCCCTTCTCCTCCATTCTCCTCTCGGGACCTTGGGCACGCATGCACACGTGCCTGGAGTGAGTCTTAAGCTGCTGGATCTGGGACTCAAATCATGGTCAGCTGTGTGGTAGTCCAGTGATACAACCATTAAACCATCTGCTGGTTCTAAAAAAATTGATTTTTAATAAAGATTTATCTTCTAGCAGAGCTAGGTAAGGAGGGGGACTGTTATTGAGTGACTTGTTTCCAGCTGTCCTGGATGTCTTAGAAATTTCTAAGGTAGAGGAATATTTCAGTAACTAGAGTATATTTATGGCTTAATGTGGTTCAGAAATAGTAGTAGCATCCAAATTGTAGAATTCTTTTGATAAAGGCAGACAAGTATGACTTTTTCTTGAAGAAGAGTTTGTTTATCTGTTTGATAGGTATGGTGGAAATTTTACTTACATTTCCATTCTTTTATAACCTTATTTTGTTTTGTTTTTGCTATAGGATACCTGCATTCACTGGAGAGAAACAGAGAGAGAGGGCAAGTGGGAAATCAACCTCCAGGGGGGATGACCACACCACGATCCCTTCTATTCCATTTTTTTTTTTTTTGAGATTTTAGGCATGTATGCACACATGTCCAGCATAATTTTCAAGCTGCCGGGTCTGGGACTCAAACTATAGAGTTGGCCATATAGTATCCAGCACTCTAACTTCCATGCCACCCTCTGACCTGATGTTTCCAGTTTTGAGACCAGTAGTATTGGTTGCATTACAGTTATTCTTTTTTTAAGTATTAATTCTACATTTATTGGTATTTTTTTGTGAACAATATTCTTTAGAAAAAGTGTACATA